TCAAGATGCCAGCATAGTCAGAATCCTGGTGGGACCTTTCTTTCTGGTTTGCAAATGGAAGTCTTCTTGCTTTGTCCTCACACTGCAAAGAGAAAATGAGACAGCAAAGGAGTTCAAGACAGATTAGATTAGATTAGATTAGATTAGATTAGATTAGATTAGATTAGATTTCTGTCTCTCCTTCTAAAGGCAGTAATCCCATTATGAGGTATCCACCCTCATGACCTAACTACCTACCAAAGGTTCCATTCCGAAGACTATCACACTGACAGTTAACACTCTAACATATGACTGTGGAGGAACACAATTTGGTCCACACAAATACTCTTAAGTGTTGCTGGAAAAAATGGATATCCTATAGAGACAACTGAAACTAGGCCACAATCTTTCTCATCATGTACTTAAATCAACCAAGAATGAATTAAAGGTTTAAATGCAAGACCCAAAACTATAAAACCAAGAGATGAAAACATGGAGGAAATGCTTCACAATACTAGACTGAGCAAATATTTCATAAATATGACCTCAAAAGCATAGATAACTGAAGCAAAAATAGATTAAGGAGATCACATCAAACCGAAAAGCTTCGGAATATCAAAGGAAACAATCAACAGAATGAAAAGCAACTTACAGAATTGAAGGAAAAAGCTCCAAATTATGCATCTAAGATAAAGGATTAATATTCAACATATATAAGGAACTCAAACAGCTCAAAAGCAAAAGGAAACAATACAATTTAATAATAGGCAAAAGACCCTAACAGACATTTTTCAAAAGAAAACATACAAATGGCCAAGAAGTATAAAACAATGCTTAAGATCACTGTCTTGGTTACTTTTCTCTCGTTGCTGAGACAAAATACCCAACGCCCAAAATGAAGGAAGGAAAGGTTTATTTCGCTTACAGTTTGTGGAGGTTTCAGTCCATACTTTGCTGGCTCCGAGGCAGAAGATAGCAAAGCAACAAGAGCAAAGAGGAATGGCAGCCGAACAGCAAACAGCCAGAGCAAAACTGGAGGAATGGCAGCAAGC